ATTTCTTTAATTTTTTTATGAAATGCTCAGCTGTACATAAAATGTAAAGATAACACTATAGGTTCTCTAGAATGGCTCAGTCCAAAACACTTGATAGCACCACTTACTGGTAAGAACAGAGAACAGTAGGAAGTCTAATTCATTTCTGGTAGGAATGCAGAATGGTACTGCTACTGTGGAAGACACTGCAGACCTTTCTTACAAAGCTAGATATAGTCTTATCATGTGATCCAGCACTCATGTTCCAGTCATGTATTTACTCATGTGTTTGCTCAGATGACTTGAAAACCCAACATAAGCGTTTATAGCAGCTTCTTGCCAACACTTGGAAACAACCAAGATGTCTGTTAGTAGATGTATGGATAAAATTGTGGCACATCCATACATACAGTGTAATATTACTCAGCAAGAAAAAGAAATGAGCCAGCAATTCACACGAAGACATGGAAGAACCTTAAATGTGTATTGGTAAATGAAAGAAGCCACTCTAAAACAGCTGCATACTATGGTGCCAGCTATATGACATTCTGAATAAGGCAAAACTGTGGAAATAGTGAAAAGATCAGTGCTAGCTAGGGATGAGGGGTACAGGGAAGCATGAGTAGGTAAAGCATAGGGAATATTGATGACAGTGAAGTTATTGTGTCTGATACTGTAATGGTATACATACGACATTATGTGTTTGGCATAATCCATGGAAGTGTACAACACAAAAAGAACACTGATTTTCGACTATAGACTTTAGTTAATAATAGCGTATCAGTATTAACAATTTTTGTGTCAGAACAACGACAGGTGTTATTAGTAATGGAAACTGGATGGTGGAGGCAACAGATGGGAATTCTTTACTTTCTGTTCAGTTTTTCTGTAAATTTAAAACTGCTCTAAGAAATATATTGTATTAATTTAAAAGATACAAAAATAGGCCCATAATGAAATAATACAATATAAAAAGCAAGAAGAATAACCCATATAAAGAGACTTCCAAAGGGGGTCCCAAAAATAGGGTAACCAAATACAGGTTTTAAAATGAACATATTTCATATGCTCAGAAGTAGAAGCTTGAAAATTTCACCAAACAACTGGAAAGGGTTTAAAAAGCTTAGAACTAAAAACTCATTAACTAAATTATTAAATCAGTGGATAGATTTGACAACAGATCATCAGCGTCTTCAAGATAATAAACAGAAATCATTGAAACAGGCAGGAAATGTGGAAAATTGAAAATGCTAAGGGCTGGTTTTTGAAGATTGATAAAACCGATAAAGGCTTAGCAAGACTGATTCTTCTTCAACAATTTGAAGATTAGATTAGATAAAGCAAGTGAATGATACCATTAATGAAAAAGGGGATATCACTATATATCTTATAGACAGTAAAATAAAGAGGATATTAAAAATGATTGTCTTATTTATTTGCTTTTTAAATTAAATGAATACATTCCTTGAAGAACATTGTAAAACGAATGCAAGAAGAATTAGGAATTTGAAGAGCCTTCTATTAAAGAAATGGAATCCTTAATTAAAAACCTTCCTCAAAGAAAATGCCTCATTTGGCTTGACTGGTAAATTCTTCCAAATACTTAAGGAAGAAATAATACCAATCTTAACACAAACTCTCTCAGAAAATAGAAAACTAGGAAAAACATCCCCATTTATTTTATGAGGCTTGAACCTGATGCAATCATTGTAAGAAAAATTACATCATAAACAGATGTAAAAATAATAAATACTAGCAGGCTGAATCTACTGATACATTAAAATGGTAATATGAGCATGTAGGCTTAATTCTAGGAATAAAAGTAGCTTAACATGCAAACCTGATGAGTATAATTCAGCACTAAAAGAACAAAGAAATGAACCGACCAGGCGTGGTGGTGCATACGTATAATCCCAGCACCCAGCAAAGCCAAGGCAGGAGGGTTACAAGTTTACTAGCCTGGGCAACTTAATGGGACCCAGTCTCAAAGTAACAAATTACAAAAGGGGTTAGGGACATAGCTCAGTACTAAGGCCTTCAGTTCAATTGTCAGTAGAGGGGACACATACCCTATTTTGATTATTTAAATAGATGCAGATAGCTTGACAAAATTCAATACTTTTGTCATTTAAAAAAAGAAATAGATCAAATTAGAAATAGGAAATTTTCAGTCTGCTAAGTGGTATCTATAAAAATCCTACAGTTCACATACGATTAAATATTGAATGACTTCTTCCATTCACCTAAGTTCAAGAATAAGGCAAGTAGGTCCAGGGACACCATTTGCTCACTATTTTATTTTGGCTCTGGTTAGTGTAATGAATCAAGAAAAAGAAGTGGATATAATTGGAGAGGAAGTAAAATTGTATTCACAGATGACATAAATGTATGTGCATAAAATATAAGCCAGTCTATAAAGTATTAAAATATGTGAAATTTTAAAGTTGCTGGATACAAAGTTAAGTAACAATTATGTTATTGTTATGCACATAACAATTACAAAATAAAATATTTAAATGCCATTTACAATAACATAAAAGGCAAAATACTGGGAATAAATTTAATGAAAGATGTGTAAGACTTCTACATTTAAAAATAGAAATATGCTTAGAAAAATTTAAGAATGCTTAAAGTAGAAACCTAACATGCTCATGATTTAGAAGATTCACTGTTATTATTAAGATGTCAGTTTTCCCCAAATTGATCTGTAAATTGAATACAGTTTTAATCAAAATCTCTCAGCAGGTTCTTTGTGGAAATTAGGAAGCAGATCTTAAAATTTATATTAGAATAGAAAGATGTAGAATAATTAAGGCAGTCTTGAAGAACAGAAAAGCCAGAGAACTTACACTAATGGATACTAATGCTTATTACAATCTGTAGTAATTCAAACTGTGGCATCAGCATAAGGGTAGATATAGTCAAATGGAACGGAATAGTCTACAAATAGACCAAAACATATATGGACTCTTGTCCATAGAAAAGTACCACTGCAGTGCATTTCAATAAAGTAAGGTTAATCTTTTAAGTACAGTATACTATATCAGTGGATTATCTTTAACTCAGACTTACAACAGGTAAAAATGAATCTAAAGGTCTAAGGGTCAAAGGCAAAAAGAAAGCTTTTAGGAGAAATGTTAAAAGAAAATCTTAGGAATTTGGAGTAAGTAAAGATTTGTTAAAACTGAACACAAAAAATACTAGCTACAAATGATTGATAATTTTATTAAAACAAAGCTTTCCATCAAAATGCTATTATATTCTGGGACTAGGTAAGTCTACGTGAATCTACAAAAGACTTTTTTTTTTTTGGTGTGGTGCTGGGGTTTGAACCCAGGGCCTTGTGAATGCTAGACAGGGCTCTACCACTGAGCCACATTCCCAGGCCAAAGGACTCATATTGTACATTTATAAGGAACTCTTACAAATCAGTAAGAAACTGGTTACTCAAAACAGTTTTCTTTTTCAAAACAGTGAGCAAAAGACTATGATACGCACATCACCAAAAAGGGTACACAGATGACCAGTGTACATGAGGTACTCAACATCTTTAGCTATAAAAAAAATACCAATCAAAACTACAATGAGATACTACTACCACAGTCCACCAGACTAGGTCAAACTTAAAAGACTGACCTTACCATGTATTGGCAAGGATGTAAAACAACTAGAACTTTTATTGATGGTGGGCATGTAGTTGGTATAATAAGTTAACTGATTATTTACATACTAAAGCAAGAATATTTGATAATCTTCACCTTAGGTGTATATATACTTTGTAAAATGAGAACCATATATCCATCAAAAATGTGTTCAGGAATGTTCCTAAGAACTTTACATCTCAAAGTGGAAATAGTTCAACAGAAGAGCAGATAAATGTGGTACATTTGCATAATGGATGACAATGAAAATATTGTGATATGCAATAACATGGCTTAATTGTATAGGTAAAATGTTGAGAAAAAATCCCTATGCAAAATATATGCTATATGATTTATATATGGGTAGGTGGATATATAGGTGGGTGTTAATGACCTATGCATACGTAAATACTTGTGGTCATACAGATCAGAAGAGTGGTTCCTTTGCCAGGGTAGACAGGAAGAGAATGAGGAGACCCTTGGGTGCTGGTAGGTGTGGAGCAATGGGGTCAGTGAGAAGAAGTGATACTTGTAATACTTCCAACTAGGAGTACCCCTCAGTAGTGAATTAGTAGTGAAGTGGGTGAATAGAATAAACTATGTAACAGGCATAAGGGGACTAAAGTATGTGGCAATGAATGAACTACACCTATAAGTAGTAACATGAATAAATCTCACAAACATAATGTTAAGTGAAGAAAAAAGAAATTTATAAAAGAATGTTTCTATGACTCCATTCATATGAAGTTTTAAAAATAGAAAATCTAAACTGTAACACTGGAAATAAATTAGTTGATTGCCTCTCAGGGATGGGGGTGCTAATGATCGAGGGAAAGGGAGGGGCCCTTCTGGTCCTGGCGATGGTCTTGACCTGTGAGGTAATCACACCAGCTTTTCCTTTGTGATTTTTCATGGAGGTTTATGTGTACATTCTCTGCGTTTTCTATAAACTTGTTATACTTTAATAAAAAATTATAAAACAAATATTTAAAAGTTGTAAGCATGCTTTTAACTGTGAACGTTATTTCAGTTCTTTTAAACACGTATTTTCTGGGAGGATGAAGAGCTAATGATTCCTTTGCAGTTGACAGTCTCGTTAGTAAAATTTGGCTTCTTCCCTCCTTTTAGATTTTTACTTGCAGCAATTTAGTTGTTGATACCAGTTTTCTGATTTGGCACGCGTAACAGTTCTGTCACACTGAGGGCAGGAGGCAGACCTGGGCTTCGTTACCTTCGCAGTTTAGTAAGAGCCATCTGTGCTCAGCTTTCTCTCTAGTGGCCACTGAAAACATTCACCTCTGAGAAACCATTCACTCTACAGTTTTGTTTGAGTAGGGGATTGTGCACTAACGTACTTGATTATGTTACTCATCTTTCTAGAGAAAATCTCTTCATGAAAACAAACTGAAGAGACTACAGGAAAAAGTAGAAGTCCTGGAGGCAAAGAAAGAAGAACTAGAAACAGAGAATCAGGTGCTAAATAGGTAATGTGCTGTGTGTGTACACCGTGGTTACTTTGATACCCTGGAACTTGTTGCTGAGTACACTGTGTTTTATGTTTTATTTAAAATATATATTTAAGAGATTTCTAAAACTATTTGATAACCCCCCGATGCATTGTCTTTTACTTTTGTCCTTCTAACTGAATGTTCCTATACTGCAAAGGGTCTGTCACAAGGCAGGTGTTTGCATTATGGTTGGGATTGACAAGAAGTGATTAGTCACTGGCTTTGCTATCTAGGAGTGGTGTGAGCTCTTGATGCTAACATTAAAAAAAAAAAAAAGACACTTGTGGCTATTGTGTAATTCTGAAAATTGTGGCCACAAGTTTGAATCTAAATTAGTTTCCAGCTGTGGAAAACTATGATTGAGCTATAGCTTCTAGTTTTGTAGGCATATCTAAGCACCAGCATTGTTTGAGCGGAGTTGTTTGTAGTAGCATTGTATGACCCATTTGATTCAAGTTAATAACATCTTTTTAAATTCAGCTAGATGGTGGTAGACTTCTATATTTAATCAACTATTAGACTTTTCTATAATGGAAATTGCCAGTAGTATCACAAAGTAATGCTTTATGATATGCCCTGGTATTGGTTGTAATTCTTACCAAAATGTGAATTTTTTTTTTTTTTTTTTTTTTAAGAACACTCAAAAGGTTTCTAGACCGGGATTGTTGCCAACTTTATAATAGGCTGTCTGAAAGTAGAAAGCTACCAATTTCATTGTAAAACCAAATTCAACTTACTATTTCTTCTAGTAATGTTGCAGTCATTGATTTGAGATTGGGTAGTTGTGGCACAGGTCATCTAGGACTTTGGATGGCTCTGAAACTATGTTTGATTACTGGTATAATTGATGTTCAGGAATCATCTTCAAAAAATATCTGTGAAGGCCTAAGAAGTTAGATTTTTCTTTTACCTTTGTCGTTTTTTTCTTACAGTGAGTCGCTTCATACACTTTGTGGTTATCTACTATCTGATCTTGGAAACAACAAATGTTTGTCCTCCTCAACATAGTCAGGATAACACTGACAGAGGGGCAGAGGTTTTTCCATACGCCAAGCAATCAGTTCTCCAGTGGACACTGGCTGGGTGTCCCATAACTCCATTCAGAGCCTGTCTACCTAGGCATAATGTCAGACTCCACAGGGTTGAGGCCTCAGTTCTGCAAGACTGCCCCATGTCTGGTGCTGCTCACAGCCCCAGAGTGGGACCTGTGTTTCTGACTGACAGCTGTAAATAGGGCTTCCTGTGACCCTCTGTTAGGGTTCAGTTAATTTGCTGGAGCAGCTCACAGAACTCAGGGAAATGCTTTACACAAGTTTATTACAAAGAGTATCATGGAGGATACAGATGAATGACCAATGGAAGGGATGCAGGGGAAATGGTATGGAGCTTCCGTGCCTCGTGCACGTCTGTCACCCTCCAGGGACCTCCATGTGTTCAGTAACCCATGAGCTCCCCCATGCTGTCCTCTTGGGGTTTTATGGCAGCTTCCTTTCATAAGCAGAATTGAACCTTAAGCTTTTCTCCCCTCCCCAGAGCTGGAGGTGGAGTGTGGCTGAAAGTGCCAACTCCCTAATCATGTCGTGGGCTTTCTGGTGACCTGACCTCATTCTGCAGCTTTCCAGGGTCCCTCAGCTACCAGTCATCACATTACCGTAAAAAAGGATGTTCTTTTCCACTCCTGGAATCACATGGTTTCAGGAGCTGCCTGGGAACCAGGGGCAGAGACCAAATACCTGTATTTTTATTATATCACAATATCATACTTGCATTTCAAAAATGAGATTAAACTACACAAAATTCTATATATGACCATATTTCACCTAGAAAAATTGCAGTTTCATACAGCTCATCTAGCATTTTCTTTATTCTTGTGAAGTTGGACATGGTGGCCCATGCCTGTAATCTCAGCACTTGGAAGGCTGACGCAGGACAATCACAAGTTCGAGGCCAACCTGGACCACATAATGAGCTCAAGGATAGTCTGAGCTACATCGCGAATCCCTGTCTCAAGAAAGAAAAAATTGTGAATCAGGAAGCATGTAACTCTTAAAAGGACATACTCTTTTTTCTCTTTTAAGACAAAATGTTCCATTTGAAGAATATACAAGGCTTCAGAAAAGACTAAAGGACATACAGAGAAGACACAATGAATTTCGAAGTCTAATTTTAGTTCCTAACATACCTCCGACAGCATCTATGAATCCTGTGAGCTTTCAGTCATCAGCCATGGTCCCAGGCATGGAACTGTGCTTCCCTCCTCATGTGCAGGTATGAGCATTTATTTTAGGAAAAAACAGTCAAACATTTCATTGAAATAGAGAGTTTAAAACCCAAATTGTCGATGTGATCTTAGCCACAAAAATAGCATACCCACTTCAAGGTAACCTTACCTTCTTTTGAGGACCATAAAAATTTGCTGAGAAGTAGATCTGAATTTGTTCCGTCTTTTAGTGGTGGTGCTGGGAGTAAAATATACTACTGGGCAATAGATAAGGAAGTTTTAACGCGGTTTTGAGTAAGCTAGACTTTGTAAAACTTGTACTATTGCTAAGCATTTACTACTGCAGCGTGATGTTTTGCATCCAGTAGTTTAATACCGATGAAAAATGCTTTGAGGGCAGATACTGTTTTGGCTTATTTGTTTTTTTATGAGGTAAGGTCTTGCTGTGCAGGTCAGGCTGGCCTTGAACTTACTATGTAGCCCTGGCTGGCCTCGAACTCTCAATGATCCTCCTGCCTCAGCCTCCCAAATGCTGGGATTACAGGTGTGCGCCACCACACCCAGTGAGGGCAGGTATTTTTATTTCCAATTCATAGATGAGGAAACTGAGTCAGAAAGTTGAAGTGACTTGCCTAAAGTTGCTTAATAAATGACGAAGTTTTAAACTCGTTTGATTTCCAAACCTAGGCTCTTTATGCTGTATCATGTTCTCAAAATATTAAAGGAATCAAATTGATTGGGTGGTTTTTAGAAGGACTAAACAATTATGTTTTGTAATACTGTAATAAATTGTTAAACTCCAGTCTTGTTTCAAGATTACCATGTAAGTACACTGGAGACCCCTTGTATTTTCTAATGTATTACCTAGTGAATTTCACACCTAGAGAACAGACTGGACTTTGCTTAGGGTCAGAGCCTGTGGCGGGAAAGAAGTGGGACTTCTTAACAGCTCACCCATACTGCTCTGCTTTCGGACTGCTGAAGTGGACCTGACCTCCCTGCAGATTGCTGCAGGCCTGTGTAAGAGAGGAGCCCTCTGGTTTTTCTAACAGTTTCTTTTGCTTTGCTTTCCTACATCGTTTTTAAGGAGGAACAACATCAAAGGGAACTCTCTCTCCTTCGCAAACGACTAGAAGAACTAGAAACAACACAAAGAAGACAGCTAGAGGAACTTGGATCTCCTGGGGAGTGATGTTCTCGCGAAGACGGACAGATCAAAGCAGGCGAAATCTCAGACTCAGTAAAATGTGAAGTTTTACCGTTTGTGGCACCAAGCTGCTTCACTGTGATTTGCCAAAGTCCTTGCGTGTGCCTCAAGAAGAAGGTACCAGCTACGACAAGCGAAGCACTGAAGGAAACAGTTCCACAGATATTTAGAATATGTATTGAGGACCTTTTGAGAATATAAAAAGCAAATTGATACAAGGAACTAATTAGAAAATCAAGTTATAAAATTGACTTTACTTTGAATTTTTTGGCATTTTGCCTGAAATATGTCCGTTGAAAGTTCCTTTTTCCTTACCTTTGAGGTGCTTGACGGTAACAAAGTCAGTAAACACCTGTGGTTTACAGTAAGAGGTATAAACCTGTAGTTTTGGGGGGAAATACGACAATTTAAAAGATGGCATAAAAGAACTTACAAACATTCATTGCAGAAGTCTACCTTTTCAAAAAGCTGTGTGCACATAATTTATTAAAGAGCTTAATAAATATTTTTCTAACTAATATTTGTGTTTAATTTCATTTTGGCCAAGTAATATACTGTATATGCTGCAGTTTAGAAGATTTCACTGATTATGGCTTTTCTTAGTGGAAACTAGTACAACATTAAATGCTGTAGCTGTTTAAAAAAGGGCTATGGATGGAGAAACCCAGCGGGCCCCTCAAGCAGTACTGGTCTTTGTTTTGGATCCACTCAAACGGTGACACTGTTTTTTCTGTGTTCCTACGTGTGCCTTCACTACTTTGTTTTTCACTGCACGCCCTTTGGAGGCTTTTTATGTAACATGTTTTTGAAGAATTCTGCTGCAATAATTTCATGTCAGCCTAGCAAAGCATTCTCCAGAAGACATGATAGTCAGAAGTCCAGGTCCACAGGGGAGGACGGGGATGCAGCTGAGCAGCCGTTGACATCGTTTATCAAGAAACGAGGTTTATGTACTACTACATAATGGGCTGCTTATCCACGCAGCATAGGCAGTGACACCTTGTTTTTGAAAATTAATTTCTATGGCACCACTTAGAATAAAAAACCTATTAGAACTAGGAAATTGGGGAGAACAAAAGACCAACAGTCCACAGTTACATCAAAATGTTTATTTTTGGATATAGACATTTAAAACATTCATCTCCAAGAACAGCTTCAATCAGGTATACAGTAAGAAATAGACTTTAAATCCTAATACAGAAAAGGTAACAGAATTAATTTTTAAATGCTGCTGTAGACACTACTGTTAGAAAAAAAATTTATAAATGAATTGTTTTGCACCAAAAAATATGCAAAGAAAGTTGAAAATAGATATTGTTTGCCATTTGTTTCTCTAGTTGCTGTTTAAATTAGACCCAGTGACTGATTGTCTTCAGCACACATCTAATTTGGCCATTTACTGCATTTGGCTAATGTGATCCAGAATGTGATCCTAGATAGTGCTTTTCACTGGAGGATTGACAAACACGCTACATACATTAGTGAATCTCCACACCACCTCAGTGAGGTAGGTTAGAAATATACAGAAATTGAGGCACAAAGAGGTACGTGACTTGCCCAAAGTTCCTAACAGCACAGTCCCTGGAAGAGGAGGTAACTCTCCACACAGGACTCACGTGCCAGAGAGCTGGACAGGGACACCCTCGTGTAGCATTCAGTAAATACTTCGATAAAGCTGTAGCTGATCCTTTGAGTTCACTGTACCCTAGAGAAGGGAAGTCTTTTGGGCAACTCTCCTACCCTTGCCTCTCAACTCTCCTATAACTGTTCTCTTACGAGTGCCTTCACCTCTTTGAAGACTGTAGCAGCTTTGGATGGGGACCAGACCTCTCACCTTATACTTAGAAGTAACCTATTTGGTAGTACTTTTGAGATGTGTCCACTGGGCAGAGAGTGGTCAAAAGCACAGGATTGGGATGGTGCCTATCAGGGCAGTAACTGCTTCTTTCTCTGAACCGTTTGTTCAGGTGTCACCTCTCTCACTCTTTAGCAGATATTAGGAAACAGAAAAGAACTGCATTTACCTAAGACAAATTCACATTTCAGTTCTGATGTTCCGTACAGTGTTGGGAAATGGTTTAAGGAATGTGTGATCGATGTTTTATTTGCTACCTGAATTTTTTTTTTTTTTTCCTTAGATCGGGGACTTAGAGCACCGAGGGTGAAAGGTGCCTGCCACAAGCAAAGCTTTAGAGTTGCCAATTACACTTTTTACTTCTTCTGGTTTAATAGAAGGAAAACACAGTGGTATTAAAATTGGTCATGAGCAGCAAAAATTCAGGAATAAAAAACTCAGCAATAAAAAGACTACAGTATAACTGGTAGGGAGTTTTGTTTTTTTTTTTTTAAAAGAAAGGCATGAATGAGTTATTTAAAATTCTTTCTCCTGTAAGGAATAATTTCCAAAAGTACATAGTAAGACTAAGATACCAAGTTGTCTACTAATATTTTTCAGGCCTTGGGCCTCAAATATATATTTATTTATATATAATACTCCAGTGTGAACAGCAATTTGATGAAATGTAAAATGTATCTTTTTTTTTTTAATCACACACAAGTATTTATAACCACAGGGTTCACCAGAAATCTAAAGCAAGGAGCCACTAGTATAGAAATGTAGGATTAGAGTGACTTACACTTCCACAGATAGTTCTGATCAAAGGTTTTTAAATAAAATTAATAGTCTTTACAATACCCAACATGTTCACCATCAAATACATTTAGTATGAAAGGATGAATGAAAAAGGAACATACATCAGGACAAAGTGTCTGGGTAAACCGCTGTTGCCTTTTAATAAAGCCCACTCACTCTCCTTGCTTTAGAGCTCCCGGATGGAAAATGGAGGCGAGTTGGATGGAGTGCAGTTGGCGACCACTGAAAAACACGAGCCCTTTCAACAATGTTGCAACACTGTTAGTTTTTGGTTTAAACACACACACACACTCACAAATGCTAAGTGTACACACCACCAAATTCTGCGGTCAGCTTTTCCAAGAACTACTGGGGAAAGTTTCAATGCTGCAAACCCTTGAGGTTGCCCTAACGCCGCCACCTCGTTCCCAAATGACTCAGTTCACCTTTTGCTTTGAGCATTGGCAATATCCCTTTTTCTGCAGCGGTGCAGTGTAGTTACAAGTGCTACACGGCTGTAGTTTTCCAACAAAACCACTTAGATATCATTGTGCTTAAGTGGGGACTGTCATTACAATACTGACACTTGCTTACTGGCCCTGTATTCTCTGTAAACAAGGAGGCTGTTTGCAACAACCACTTCACCTCTATTTACGGAAGGGTTCCCACAGCATACACACAGGCACAGTGGTCGATACGCTTATTAAAAGCTGTGCATGTGCCTTGGTCTCTTAAAAAAAGACAGTGCTCAAAGTGGAACCTTTGTGCAAACCTAAAAAATTAACGACACAGAGTCGCTCAAGCGGCCGTTCCGCTCCCAAGTCGTCTGAAGAACTTTGCCACATTAAGCCAGGCCCCAGGGTGCTTACATCCACTTGCATTTCTTCTTTTCATCAAATAAGACCTTTACATGCAAGAGTTGTTTCTGAGCTTCTTCCAGCCCTCGTTCTCTTTCTAGTTTATTTAGAATCTGTTGACAATTAGAACAGTTATTTTAGATATTGTGGTTCTAGCATTATCATTCTGTTTTTCCTCTTTAATTCCTGATGCTGTGAGTGGTACAATCTGTATGAAACAGATGCCAACGTTTTCTCCGATTATTTACATACTCACTTTGCAAGTTGTTTTGCCAAGTCATTATCACAGAATCAACAACACTTTGGTTTAAAATAGAAGGCCTCAAGAAATACCAACTATTTGCTTATAAATATGGGACCAGACTTCCAAGGCCCTGCTTTATGCATTGTGTCACAGCCATTCCAAGCACAGCAAGCATTCCTGGGCAGCCAACATGCAGGCAAGTATTTCTCCTTAAGTGCAGCAGGCAGGGGCATCCTCGTCAGAGACAAGTAGTTCCCCCTCCCCTCCCCTCCCCTCCCCTCTCTTCCCCTCCCCTCTTGGACAGTGTAGTCCCTTTTGTCCCCTCCCCTCCCCTCCACAGGGCTTCCCTTCTCACCCTTGGAAAGAGGGATGCTTATCATGTTTAAGGAACTCATTGCCTCTACCCTACCTTAGCTCTTCACTTGATCTTCAAGTAGCAAATGGAATGGTGAGCTATTCTCACCACTGACATGGATAGCCTGTCCCAGCATGACTGAGTGGGGGGAATCAGGGAAGGGGGAATTAACATATTTGGAAACAATGCATCCAGGTTAAGGAGAATTAATCATAAAGGTGAATGGTAGTTCATTACTAATGGTTGTAAAAAGCCTGAATTAAAACAGTTGTTACTGACATAGTTGCTTATGTTAGAAATATGTCATAATTTCATATAACTATTCAATACCGAGTCTAGGCTTAGCTTTCATTTTTAGCAGATTACAACGAAGCCTAAGCTGGCCGCCTTGAACAAAGCCACAACTTACTCATCAGTGTTAATTTGAGTCACTGTGGCTGTAGGTCCCATGAACTCAAATGTAAATGCAGGCTGGTGGGCACATAATTTAAAGACAAGAGGGGCGGCCATGTGCAGGGTCTGGCATGGTACCAGGACCCCCACCTCAGGCAGGCTTCCTGGCCTCCTCCTCTGGCTGTTTCGGCTGCCAGAGCTGTCCTGAGACCTACTGAGCACTATGGCCAGACCCTTGTGACTGCTTCATAGGTTAAAAAGAGGTTAAATAGAGTCTTACCTCATCAAAATATTTTACGATGTATTTGTAGATTTCTGTCAAGGCCACTTCTTCATTAAATTCATTTTCGTGTTTCTAAGGAAAAAAAGAAAAAGCTTGTTGAGAGACTCCAAAATGACCTTTAAAAAAAAATCAAATAGAAGCTTATTTCTCGTTTTGAATGATACCTTAGATTCCTGAGTTAAGAATTCTTCCATTTCTAAAGATGACAATGGAGGCAAATCCCTGATTGCTTTATAATAAGATTTTACTTCCTCTTTGTAGGTTGGGATATCCTTGGCATAGAGAAGTTTATTAGTTGGTGCTTCCTGAAAAAAAAAAAAAGCAACCACACCACACAGGTAAAAATCCATGGAGAATTTATACCAGCACAATGTAGCTGAACCTCCACCATCAGCACTACCTCTTGCTAACAAGGCTCATGCAGGAGGCCTCAGTAAATGGTGACTGAGTGACTGACTGCCTTCTAGATAGTTCTGGTGAGTCACTGTTCTTTTTGGGCAGATTAAATGCTAATATATTCTGCCTTCCTCTCATAAAAGAACTAAATTATTATTTTTGCATGATTTTGAGTTACTGTAACAATGGAACTTATTTCAATCATAGTTCATTACTAATGGTTGTAAAAAGCCTGAATTAGAACATTTGCTCTCACCCTCACCCACCAGTGGATTTGGCATTTATAAAAGACTTGATTGTAGGTCTCACTGAACCCTTTATATAACTATGAAACTGGTAAGTAATTGGCAGTGGCAGATTTTCCAGCTCGTCCCTTATGAAGATCTCCCAGTTTCCTCAAGGAAGCGTATGGTTGTTAGGACTGGGGGCTCTGATGTCTGAATTTGCAAAGGTTCCCTGGTACTTTTAATGGTTTTATGGAATTATAATAGTGATAATATTTAAAGAGCAAGTAAGTGAAGATTTGATATTAAGAAATCATTTTTTTAATAAAAGTTTGAAAAATTCTCCTTGGGGAAGGTAGGTGAGTTAATGGTCAGGCTACTGCTCCAGTGCGTTCTGCAGAATCCGGTGGCTCAGCGAGTGGCCTGATGACTCACTCTGAAGGACACCTTGATGGAGATATTACTGAGATTTTCTTGTCAAGTTGAAGAGGAACTCACAAATAATGTGATCATTTGCTCATTCATTCATTCATTCATTCATTCAATAAACATTCAGCCAGGTGTGTTGGCAGGCCTTGAGTGTACAAAGGTGAAGACGATTGTACTGCCCTTGAGAAGCTCACCTCTAAGGGAGAAGACAAATTTACAGTGTTAACTCTGACATAAATAATTAGGCTATAAAAAAAAAGGCTACAGAGTTAGGCAAATCAGAATCTATGACTTCTCTGTGACCTCACTGAGACATAACCTAAGGACGTCAATTTCCTCATCCATAAAACGAGGGTCACATTAACTACTTATGTGGTACTTCTGAGGAAACATACCAAGAACCTGGTAAATAATCCGAAAATGACCATTTTTCCTATGAACAAACAAACATGCAAGTGTTTTCCAGTGTGCTGTGCTAAGGCAAACCTTATCAGTCACATGAAGAAAGCCTTGTGGGAACTGTACTGGGGAAAGTTCACACGGGAAGCAGTTAGATTGATCTGAGTCTCCTACACGTTCGGGCACACATCGGATAAGTGTGTGCTGAGTGAATGGCTTTTGAATGAATGAATGAATGAATGAGATTTTACTAGACACAAAGGTTGTGAGACCGGAAAGACCTGAGGGAAGGGATGTGGATACAAGCTCTTGGTGTGTCTGGGGAAAGCATGGGCAGTGTGCCAATAAATGATGAGGCCAAAAGAGGCCTGCGGTCGATCAGAAGGTGCTCCTGGCACTGCAGAGGCCAGCTGGGGGTTATAGGTGACATTCTCAAGCCGTTAAGCAGGAGGCTGGCCAGGTGAGGCTGATGTTCTAGGAAGATAACCCGAGACACAGTGAAAAGGGGATGCACAGGGGAAGGCTGGACAGCAGGCATGGACACAGGCTAGGAGACGAGTGTTATCCCAGTGTGGAGGGAATGGAGAAGGGACAGGGATGAGAAGGAAGGGATGGGTCTTCCGAAGAGGGCAGGAAGTATAACGAGTGAACTGAGGGTACAGGCTGGAAGGGGACAGGAAGCAGAGTCAAAGATAATGCTGAGGGTCACAGCATTGAGAGCCCAGGCAACGGGAGGGAAGACACAAGTAAAGCCCAGTTTGTTTTGCAGGAAGAGTGGTGACAAAGAGTTGAAAGGTTGGCTCGGTATCTGAGGGACCTGTACATCAATTACCGTTCATTTCTGGTACTATGAAGATCTTCCTACCAAAGAGCCACTTCTCAGCTTTCAGAGGGTTTTCTGAAATCCATTAGGTACAGATATTGCTCAGTTTAATTTATTTTGGAGTGCTTGGAAAAGACCAAAATATCTTTTTCAAAGCTTGCTCTGTATTTTTATCTTTCTTTGCTTTCTCGGGGCTTTTTATCAGCAAAGAAAACCATAGGAAAGCAATGTTCATGACTTGATTATAAACTGACAAACTGGTATTATTAGAAGTCTCAGACAAGGTTTTCTTCCCCATAAGCTGTTTGTTATACTGAAATAGACTTTTTATAATATATTCAGATGGAATTGACTTGGAAAAATATTAATAGTTTTATATTTTGGGTTAGTCTATCAGTGTCCTTTGAATGTTTTTCTAAGAAACAAGGAAAATGTATACTTCATGGTAGTTTTTCAGAGGCACAACTCTGCAATAGGATGGGGCTAATTATTTTGGGTTTTTTTCTTTATGAATGAGATTAAAAATAAAAGTAAATGGGAACCGGGTGTGGTGGCACATGTCTGTAATCTCAGCATCAAGAGGCTGAGGCAGGAGGATTGCTGAGTTCAAGGCCAGCCTGGTCTACATAAGCAAGTTCAAGGCCAGTCAGAACTACATTAGCAAGATCCTGTCTCAAAAAAACAAACAAAAAAAAGTGCTAAAAAAATTCAAGTAAATGGCACAGATTTTAAAGAGAAGCAAATTTACAGTGACCATGAGTGACTGCTTCTCTTCCGCTGGTGTGGTTTAGGCCAGCTGTCCATTATCTGAATGTTCGTAAGACATCGTGATTTAGACTCACGGGACTGTGTGTAAGAAACTGCAAAACGGGGCCTTACCTTCCCTAGCTGCTGCTCGGTGAGGGAAAAGGCGTCCATGAATGCCTGGGCAATCACTGACAAACAGCCGTCTATGTGTGGCGTCTTCTTAATGTCAAAGACAAACTGAGGGTTCTTCAGGATGTTGACCCAGAAGCGAAGAGGAAGGCTGTTGAAAGACAGTAAGCTCCTCTCACATAGGGCCTTCCAGAGACAGCCAGTCGTCTGCGTACCAGTTCGTACAGAGGGGTCTATGTCCTTACTGAACACACAAATCTGCTAGGCAAACTACCAAGCCACAGATGGCACCGCACTCCGAACCGGGAAGGGTGAAGCACAGCGACAGAGGCAAGAGGAGGGGTTGGAAGCAGCCCCGGTCCTGGCGAGAGGTTTCTGCAGACCCATCCGGGTTACATAAGATGAGGACCAGCAGGGGAGCCTCTCGCCGAGCTCTCCCAGGCCTGACGCCCTCCATATGTGGCAGCCTGGTCTTGGCCGCACGCTGTCCCTGGATTCTTCACCTACAGCTCCTGCTGCTACCCTCTCAACATCTCCCTGAGGCCTCTGGCCACCGGATCCTGATGCTCACCCCCTGTCCCTCCCCACTTCCTTCTGCACTCTCCTCTAATGCCCTCCAGGGCATGCACGCGATTGGCTGTCTGCACCTGCTAGAACACAAGCACCGTGAGGATGTGGGTTTGTCCGTTTTGTTCACTGCTGTACTCCAGCACCCAACGGTGGTGGTGGTTGTAGGATCTCAAGTAAATACTTGCATACAAACTTGGGAATCATTCAAAGTCCTTCCAGTATCTCCTTCTCAGCTCAGGCCTGGCTCACCACCTCCCGGGCATGGCTTCTACCCTGGCAGGTGCCACTGTTTCCACTGCAGAATGGTGGCCTGCAGTGCGAGGCTGGGTGTGGCTGCAGCAGGGCTGAGGGAAGGAGTGAGCCAGAGCGGAGCGCTGAGATCCACTGGACTCACAGGAGAGGACTGGACCTAGAGCTCTGCACCTTCCGCTTTTAAAGCTTCTTGAAATTGCTGTGGCTGACCTGACTGCTTAGAGGCGCTTGAGCCTGCCAGATGAGTCCTACTGCATCGTAACTCTCCCTGAGTGCCAGCACTACCTATTTCAAACACAGGTAAGGAACCAGGTTTCTTTTCTAAAGAAAAATGGAGAAGAAGTCTGGATGCCCTGGCTTAAGATAAAATGTAAAAAAAAAAACAGTACAAACTCTTGATTATAATTCTCCTGGTACTTGAGTACTGCATTTGATAAAAGCATGAATTTAGACACACAGCTTGAAAATTGCAAAGTGACATTATTTTAGGGACAAATAAGCATTTTTCCTAATGGGAAAATTGTATGATAAAATCACAAAATATTAATTTTTCTTTTTTTGCTGCTCTAACCTTCTAGATAAAGTCTTTCAAGCATTAAAGACAGCAGTGTTTTTAATGTTACCCTAAAGAACAGGATCCTCTGCATAGCAATGATTTCATGTATTGTTTAAAAATAGAAACACAGGGGCTGGGGATTTAGCTCAGCGGCAAAGCGCCTGCCTGGCAAGCACAAGGTCGTGAGTTCGGTTCCCGGTACCGGAGAAAAACCAAAAAAATAAAAAAATAAAAAAAATAAATAAAAAATAAATGAAAAATAAAAATAGAAACACAGCAAAGAAACTACTTTGACTTTATAGCTTACCTGGACCAAAGATTTGGGTACAGAGGTAAATGAACCCTTCTGTGACTATCCATGCCCCCCTTTTAGTTAATATTTCTGTCCCAGATTCTTGAAAACAGTCAATAATCGCCCACATTCCCACCTGTTTGTTTTCCAAATATGTACGACATCAGGATCTGTGATTTTTTTGTTTTCGGCCTGGGCATCCAGAAAGTCAAAAAAGTATTTTATAGCAAATGGGGCTCTGCTGTTGGGTAAACTCCAAATGCTTCTGAAAAGTTTTTCAAGCACAGAGTGGATTGCCACCTGCAAGACCAAGAGCACGAGAGTTGGGAGATTAGAAAATACTGCACTGATTTGGAAAACAGAACAGAACACCAAACCTACGTTCAGAGAAAACGATGTGCCAACTGGAGAAAAATGGAGCGGAAAAGGTAAAATCATCAAAGGTGGCCAATGAGTTAAGGGACAAAGGTTCTGAACGTCCACGCCCAGCTCTAGATTTGATTCATAAGCTTCTTGCTTATGATTTCTTAGAAATTGTAAAGAAGGGAGGATTTCTCAGCGACCACTAGCAACTGACAGGTCAGTTGCAGGCCCAGATACAGGAACCAAGGAGCCAGGCATGTTTGGCTTTTTTATAAGTCACGTTCAGCCTGGAAAACTCAAGCGATACTGCTCCGTTCCCAGAATTTTTCCTGCTGCCTGAATTTCCATCATAGGGTTTGACTGTGTGCTTTCCAAAGCATCTGCGTATTTTATAAAAAAAAACAACTGGCTGAGCTCTCTGGGAAGGCTGAGAAAATCAAAAGGCTCAGGCTGTTCTCTGACCACCAAACAAATCTCCTAAGCCCTAAGCAGATTCTCTCTGTCCATAATCTAAGAAGGATACCCAGCAAGTTAACTAGGGTCAGGTTAGGTAGTAACATTTATATTGCTAGTCATTTCAGGGGGAAAAATCACAGACTTCTGTTAATCTCATCAAAAGCCACATAAAGTAAAATTTGCTCCTGATTTGGTATTCCACTGGCTTTCACATCTGGCACTTTTTAGATGTGAATAGAATTCCTAATTTCAAAAAATTTTAAAAATCAGTAAGATTTACTAGGTTTATAGTCATTGATCCCCCCCTTTCATTTTATCTGCGATTCAAAGAAGGAGTTTTTATTGCCTATCTATAATAACAAGTAAACAAAAAGGAATCATTATCCTGTCAACCTAAAAATAACAATAGTAAAAAGGTGGGCAAAAGAACTTGGAACAATATTAAAATCCCTGATTGAAGATACTATGGTAGAAATTTGTAAAGTGCTGTTATCTTTACAGTTTATTAAAAAAAAGAAAAGAAAAAGAAAAAGAAGAGAAGCAGGGGATAGGAAGTGTTTACAATTTAAACTTTCATTTTGCTTTGCTGGAAGGCACAAGGGATTTGTAACATTTTCACACTTCAGTGGAAATTAAGTCAAACACATCACACACCCCCAAGGTACCCATAAACGCGTTCCCAGAACAGTAAGTGTACCTTGGTCGACAGCAGCTTTGTCAAATACATTTCTTTTACTTTGAACTTGTGTTTCCCTCGATGTCTCTTTCCTTGCACATCTTGGAAGGCTTCCGAATCTGGTAAAATCTAAAGGGAAGACAGAATGGCAGCGTTACCCAAGGCGACCACCCGCGCTCCAGGAGGCATGCCATGTCAGCAACGAGCACCCGAAAGCCTCAACTCACCAAATGGCAGTGTTCGTCGGTGTATTCCACATCTGAAGGACAGAGAGCGGGGAGAAAACAGTCCATTAACAAATCAGCCATGGGCTAACCGGCCTTCTAAAAAGCCCTGCTTGTGCTGTAAACCCAAGAGCCCTTCTGCTGGAGCCCTCTGTGGTGGCAACTTTCCTTCCACTGTGAGGGTGCCTGGAGCAGGGACAGGAGCTGGAAGCAGCTTCCCTGGCCTCTAGGAGGCGCTCAAACAGGCGGAGCGGCCACCTGCTGGGTTTGGGGCGGGAAGGCTCGAGCCTATCATCTAAAGAATCCACCTGCAGCACCTCTCTGCGGCAGGCTGCCAGGTGTTAAGTACAGCAAGGAGGAAGACGACCTCTTCCCACCCTAATGGAATGCTCATTCCAGCCCACGAGAGACAGCAAACCACTAATTGCACATTTAATTACTTAATCAGAATTGTGGCAAGGATTATGAAGAAGACGTCTGTGAAGGAAGCACCTCACAAGTACCAGCCTAAGTCTGGAAGGTTGCCCTGAGGAAGGAAGGTGGAGCTGAACCTAAACGAATGGTTAGCGGGGTGAGTGGGGAGGCCCCGCGGGGGAAAGGCAGGCCATTCTTCCTAGGATCTGAGAGGGACCCGCGCCGTGGCACCTGCCTGTGGAGGCTGAGGCATGAGGATCACCGCATGTTGGAGCCCAGCCTGGGTTACACAGACTTCAAGGCCAACCTCAACTACATAGCAAGACCTCAAAAAAAAAAAAAAAAAGAAGAAGAAGGGCCCTGTAATGGAGCTCACAGAGCGCAGGAGGAGAAGCTTGGGAGAAAGTCAACGATAAAGGGAAAGAGAGTGGAAGACAGGGAAAAATGGGCTAGGGCACCGGGGCACTTGAAAATGAGAGCAACTAGAACATCTTGAGATGCTAATGGGGAAGAAGGAGCAGGCCAGAGGAGAAAAACCCATTTACAGCACCCCTGCGGCTGAGCGGTGAGAGTGCTCGGGGGCTCGGGAGGATGATCTGAAGCCCAGGGCAGAGAGCGGCCTTGGGTGGGAGGAGGGACAGCCCTAGTGCAGGGGCAGGAGCGGGACAGCAGGCGCAGGAGGCTGATGGTTGGGTGCGGGTGCTGAGCGGTGCTGACGGAACTAGGATTTCCGTGCTCTCTGCCCTGCACAGAGGGAAGTCACCTGCTGAGGTCAGGAGCGCTGCGTGGCCAGGGCGTGCGAAGGCAGGCCCCGGGAACACAGAGGGGAGCTCCCAGGGAATCCCGGGGCCGGGGTAGGACGTGTTGGGGTCCCTGGCTGCCAGGAAAGTGACACCGACTGCCGCCGAGTGCCTTTCTCCCGTGGCTGCCTGGATGGAGGTTCCGAAAAGCTAAGAATAGCGGGGTTCAGCCACTGCTGGGATTCTGACCCGGCCGGGGCTAGGTCCGGGGGGCGGTGAGCCTGGCGTGCGAGCGGCGGGGTGAGCGGGATGAGCTCAGCCGGACTCGACAGGGAGGAAGCGAAGGGTCGGCTGCCTGGAGCCCCACCGAGAGACCCACCCTCAGCTCCCGCTGTTCAGTCCCCGAACAACAGGCGCTTCGAAAGGCCTAATCTCTGAGACCCAAAAATCACCGCTCTCCCCGTTTCCACAGCACAAGAATGCCATCACCTCCACAGCGGCAGCGGCTTTCCGTGGGGTGTCCCCATCGGAGTGACGGGAGGTGAGAGCCCCCGCGGGGGTCCACCCACAGCTACCGGGTGACCTTCTGTCCTCGGCAGTCCCGCAGTCCCTGTTCGCGCTGACCAGATGCTGGGGCCCACAGAGCTCCTTCTACCAGGAGTCAGAAGCCCGAAGCCCAGCCCGGCAGAGGCCCGAACCCTTGTGGGGGCTGAAGGCTGATCGTCTTTGCAGGGACAGAGTTTCTCTGGAGGCAAATCTAGCATATGACTTAGAGATTTTCTCACGGCATTGCGAGCCTGTTTTCCGGCTGTCGGAGAGCGGGACAAGGACTTTGTAGGCTGCTCTGTTAACGCTCTCATAAAAGCTTCCTCTTCGGTTTCTCTCCACTTTCTGGGAAGTTTGCAAACGCTGCCTCACTGATAACAGGACTTTCTACGTGCACTATCTTACGTGTGCAGCGCTCGCAGGGCCGTGTGATTATCTCTCAACTTCCTTCTCAGTTTCCCGGGGAGATCCTTCCAGGGCTCCCCAGCCCGCTGAGGAGCTGGGAAAGCACTATGGGGACGGAGACCCAGGGCCTAGTTTAGAGACGTTAACAAGCAGTGACTTCCTTTGTGCGGCCTGGCAGGGCCAACCACAGTTTACAGTTTCCTTTCTTTCTTCTCAGGGGCCCACATTCTGAGGACTAGAAACAGATCAGACCAGCTTTTCTCAGCCTTCAGAGAATGACGTAGCAACAGCTCAATCTCACTTTTGTGACAGTACCTCTGAGGGAGGCACAAAGCAATACTTCCTAAAGCTGGGTGAGAACAAAAGGTTAACAATATTATATTGGTTACCTGAAGTAAAATTTGCTATCTTCTTAAAGACTTTTATAGTGGATCCATTTGATATCTGAAAGCAAAGATAAAAAATATATGAGTTTTCAAAATTTAATGCATTTCTCAACTTCGCCCAAGAATTAGATGGCTGGGTGGATCTTATATCCTCTCACTTATTAAATCAAGTATTTATCAAGGGCTGCCATGCTCTGTGCATGGTGCTGGAGGCTGGGCTCTCTAGAATGAGGAGCAAGGCATGGTTCCTGCCCTCAAGGGGATCATGGTCCTCTGGGAGAGGAAGGCAGGCTATGAGGTGCGGTGAGTTCAGTGCTGAGGTGGTGGTGGCCAGGACAGTGTGGCCCAGCTGGGACGGGGCCAGCCCTAGAAGAGGGGAGCACTAAACCCTGTGTGGTGATTAGGGTGGGCTAGCAACTCGATTGGCTGGGGAGCTGTCCAGGGGGCTGGTGGAGCACACTGCTGGGTGTGTCTGGGTGGAGTGACCTCGGGTATTGTACCTTTCTCTTTGGCACTGTTCCCCTGCGGTGCTTTTCAGCCACCAGAAACTAAGTAACTCTGCTCCATATGCCCTTCTGCCTTGATGTTTCTGCCTTGAGGCCAGCTGTCCATGGACTGTCCCCTTAAAATGTAAGCCACATTGCTCCTTTCCTCCTTTAAGTAGTGGATATTGGATATTGTGTCCTCCGACAGGAAAGTGAATACCCTCTCTCACTGGTTATGAGACACCTGGGCCAATTTCATTTTTTGAGATTCCTATTTGTTATTGGCTGAATATTTATGCCTCCTTCAAATTCATGTGTTGATATCCTAATCCCAATATGATGATGTAGAACAGGGGGCACCTATGGGAGATAATGAATTCATGTGAGTGGGGCCCTCTTGAGTGGTGTTAGCACCCTTATAAGAGGAGACACCAGAGCCTGCTCTCACTTTCTGCTCTCTCCCTCATGAGGACACAGTGAACAGACGTGGCCCCTGCAAGCCAGGAAGACGCCTTCGCCAGACTCTGGGACTCTGGCAGCCTGATCATGGACTTACAGGCACCAGAACTATGAGAAATAAATGTTTGTTGTTTAAGCCGCTCAGCTGATTACAGCAGCCTGAACTAAGATAATAGTGTATTAAGAAATGAAGGGCTGAAAGCATTTAAAAAACCAGTATTTAAAGCTGGTATCTACGCTATAACAGAACAATTTCACTTCCAGGTCTATAACCTACAGAAATAAGTACACATCCTGATGGCCAAACTATTTAGAATTGCCCTGTACTGGAACCAACCCAAACATCCATCAGTGTTAGAATGGATAAATAACCTGAGATGTATTCATATAACACATTACAAAACAATAACAAACGTGAGCGAACTACTGCTGTGTGCATGTGGGTGAATCTCACAATTGCGCTGCACAAAAGAAATCCAACATGAAAGAAAGCATTCTATATGCTTCTCTCTACCACAGTCAAAATTATGATGTTAGATATTTGGAGAAGAAAGAGGGGTTAATAATTAGGAGAGGCCAAGAGAGGGCTTGGACTTCTTGAACTGGGTGCTAGCTAGAGGATGTGCTTACTCTTTGAGAATTCACCAAGCAAAACACTTAGGCTTTATTCTCTTTTCCATAAAGAGTGATATTTTCAAAAAAGGTAAAGAGTAAATATATAAATAAATAAAAGGAATCAAAAATGATGTATCCTTGTTAGTAACAACCTAAATTTAACATTCAGGAGAGTGCCTAACATTCACTACTATTAAGTGTATAACTGAATGAATGCTCAAGTAAGTTCTGTCTATACCTAGGTCACCACTGTCCGCATCAGGACATGAAGCATTTCAAGGCCCTGAGAGCTTGTCACATCTCTCTTCACAGGCTGTAACCACCCATCCTCACCCAGACAGAATCATTTCTCTGACTTCCATCCCACTGACTACTTTTCACCTCTTCTTGTGCTTCATATAAATGGGTCATACAGTAAGGAATTTGGTATCTAGTTTCTTAGGATCAATAGAAAGTCTGTGATGTTAACTCATGTGGTCCTGCCTACCATAGTTAGTCCTTTTTATCACTAGATTGTAGTTCATTGCATGAATATACTACAGAAAACTGCCATCCAATAAAGGAAATGTTGATACATGCTACAGTGCGAGTAAACTTCAGACACATTACGCTAAGTGAAGACGTCTACTCAAAAGACCACATGGTCTATGATCCCATTCCTAAGCATGCCCAGACAGGCAAATTTATGTAGACAGGAAGTAGATTTACTAGTTGCCTAAAGCAGGGGTAGAGGAAATAAGAAATGACTACTAATGAATAGAAGGTTTCTTTCTGGGCTGATGAAAATGTTCTAAAATTACATTGTAGTGTTGGTTGCACAACTGTAAATTTACCTAAAACCATTGAATTCTGCACTTTCAACAAGTAAGGTACATAAATTATATCTCGATAGAACTTTTAAAAATTGCCTCAGATTTTGAATGTAGACATTAACGATTAAATGTTGCTATCACCCCAGCATGCTAATGTGATGCCTAGGTACGGCCACTCTTGGCAATGAAGTCCAGGGCTCTCACCTGAAGCCTTCTAGGACTGCAGAGCCCAGGCCAAAGGGCCCTCCAGTGCCTCTGTCCCTCACCCTGATGCCTCCTGGGAAATCACCAGGTGCAGAGGTGACCTTCAGGCAGAGAAGACACAGTTGGGAAGATGCAGAGGGCAGGTCCGGCTCCTGGGAGGGCTGTCTCCAACCTCTTCAGACAGGCAAAGGGGTGGTGGGGAGGAGGCAGGTCAGGGAGACAGACCCCCACCTCCACCCTGGGGTTGTGGCTGGAAATGACCTCTTGTCATTTCTGAGCATTAGCAGCTAAGTGATTTTTCCCTCTACTTCAAAACCCCAAGGCTGTTTTCTAATACTGATTTAGACGCGGCCTTCCCCAACCGGAGAAAAAATGGAGAGACCTGGAATTTCTCCTCTGGCCTGCTGCGTATTGGTTATCAAAATGTGCAAGGCTGCCTCGCAAGCACGAAAGGCTTAAAGCTAATCTCCTTCAGGCTGCACCCGCAGTGAGAGGGACACAGAGCAGAGCCAGCACTCGAGAGGCCCCTGACACAGCTGTTCAGCCAGCTGTGTCCCGCCGGCCACGACGTTTAGACTGGAGGCCTCCTCCTACCAGTGTCCAGGACATCTTGCGGGAGGCTGGGGTCTGGACGGGGCGGGCTGCGGCCAGCAGGCCTCTGCAAAGGGTCTCCAGTGAGGATTCCGAGCTCCGCTTGAGCTCTCCGAGTCTGCGTTATTACCCACATCCTTTCCTTTCCCTTGAGCCAGTCATTGTTTTCTGGCTGATTTTTCAATTCTCCTCCATATTTGATGCAATTAAAGTAAATGCTCTGTACAGGGGCCCCCTTAGCAATTCTGAGACACCGCATTTATGAGAACGTTTGAACATAGTTACAAAATTCCTTCCCACAAAGAGCTGGATAGGCTCTGTTTCCAAGCCAATAAATATCTTTTTATAAAAGGAAGCTGGTGATTCATTCTGGGTAATTGTCAAAGAATGAATCCCAAATGGGTCCCGTTGAGTGTTGAGCCAATACCCTGCTACTGTCAGACGCTCTGTTTTGCCAAAAGCGAGCACCCTTCCTCTATAATCACAAACACCACGGATGGGCCTCCGATAAGGAGCGCTGCCAAAAGTTCAAATGTCTTTTCAAGAGCTGGCAGCAACTTGCTGCTGATGTGGTGCTCAGGCATTAAGACAACGTAGATGCAGCTTGCACCAAGGAAATTTTACTCTGAAATTATCTTCCAAGAGCCAGTGTAAAAGCATTTTATTAGTGGATGAGTTATGTGTGTGTGAACGTATTTCTAACTTTCACAGCTGCTCTAGGGCTGGAACATTTCCACCCCATGTGATGCTTTAACACTAATATAATGACAGAAATATAATTTACTGATGTTTGGGGGGTAAAAGGTTTCTGCTTTCTATTTTGCACAAGTCCAGCTGCTGCTGAGTTCAGGACACAAATGCCGTGGAATCCAAAGGGTTAAAGACATGATACTGGTGGTTCCATCCGAGGAGCTCCAAATGCTTCCCGACCAGTAACTCATTAATTGTCCCATCCTCCCGTGAAGCAGGGAGCATCCTCTGGGCCTCTGTTTTAAGGATGAAAACCGAATTAAATCAAGGAAAGATTAATGTCACTAGATGGATCTGTGGCAGGAATGCTTCTCCAGCCCAGAGCAGAAGGAGTGCACATGGCAATTTCAAATTAAATTCCTTTCACTCTCTCGGTGTTCCCAGATTCACGGGGAAGAGGCGCCGCCCCTCCGATGACGTGGATGATGACGATGAAGATGAAGATGACGATGATGCCAGCCCGGCGGGGATGCGGCGGGGATGACTGGAGACTTTCCTATCATCAGAACTGGAAGTGGTGACCCCAAAAGGAAGAAAGGGGCTCATCCCAGTCGCTTAAAGCCACTCCTAAAATGAATCTGCAAGTGTGAGGTCTCTGCATGGCAAGATGCTATCTTTATGGTGTAAATTGGAGATTACCCCATAAAAACAGAGGTTGAACTTTTATTTAACCTTATAAAACTGTCATTTCTGGAGGTAAAAACGGTCAGTGACTGTCAATTTCATGTGGCTGAGCCTAAGAGAAATACTGTAATTTTAGCTGAGTTTTATGGAAAATGATGAATATGGTCTGAAGATTGCACTACTTTTTCCTTAAGGAAAAAAATCTGAAAGCGCAATAATCCATTCAAATTACCACATGGAAACTGTGGTATCTCTCGTTCCTGAGGCTGCCTTTCTCTAAGGCAGTCGTACATGAAAAGAGAATTCTACTCCGCCAGCACCCTACCAACACCGCTCTCCCTCCGTCGACTCTTCTCCCTCAGCTCCTCAGGCTGGGGCCTCTCGGCTGGAAGCAGAGGAAAAGGGCAACTTTCTCTCAGAGCCGGGGGATGACCTTGTTCAGTCCTGCAGCGAGGGGGGCGTCAGGACACCTCCACGGGCTCACACGGCTCCACACAGGCCAGGGTGTCGAGGACTCCCAGATCAGAGAGGCCCGGAGAGCTCCCACCTCTTCACTGTTTCCTGGAGTCTATCCCTGGGGCCAGGAGAACATCCGGGAGGACAGATGGAGACACCCGAGGCGGGCCTCCCTCCTGAGGGAGCTGGAGACCCACAGCCTGGATGTGCAGCTGGGGCTGGCGCTGTCGCCTCTGAGACGTCTGAGAAGGCCCCTCTTGTGACGAGGGGAGCCACCATCTTCGAGGACCGCTGCCCACAAAGCACATTAAAGGAGACAAGAAACCAGGACCTGTTTCAATAAACTCACAGCCAGGAGCTTCATCATGAGTTTTGCAGAAAGGGGCCCTTTTGAGTTTGACATCAGAGAATGTTAACGAGCAGGTATTTATTTCTGGCCAGGCTGCTTTGAGGCTGGAAGCAGGGGCTGAACGCCCAGCTGTGAGCAAGCTTATCCCTCCGGCCCTGAGCAGAACTAGTTCCCCCGGTGAGCCCTTCTGTATCTGCTCCTACCCTTGGGGCATCGATGAGAGGCCCTGTCTGACCTCAGGCAAGTTTCTTAGCCTCTCTGGGCCTTGGAATGGGAATAAGAAGACCAAAGCAGTTGCTATGGCAAAAGCCCTTGAAATAGCCCCTTACAGAAGCAGTGCCACCTGCGTTTGTTAAATATGGGCAGGCTGCCAAAGACATGCTACTGCAGCAGGCCGTTCGGAGATGTCCAGTCCTTTTGAGGGCCAGAGACAACACAGAGCAGAAGGACCATGGACCTTACGCACAGGACCCTCTGGGACATCCCTAGGAGCTACACGCCTCTTGAGTGGTGACTGGTGTCGGTGGGACATGCCTGCAATGGCACACGCCTGTTACGAGCTGTGTCCTCCCACCACACAGTGGTTCATCACATTTTCTGCCTCTCAAATCCTTGAAGCTCAGACTGCCAGGTGCAATCTGCAGAGGAAACTTCCTGCCACACAAAACACCTATCTGCGCCCACAATGCCACCCCACAGCGAGGTGTGGGTGCCCCAAAAGTCCAGCAGAAGGTCACCGGTGCAGGGGAGAGGAAGGAAACCTGCACTGCAGAGAAACCAGCGCCACAGCCTCTGAAGGCACGAGCTCCATGGCACAGCCGCCCCAGACCCGACTCCCGAGCCCTTAGAGCAAAGGCACACAGAGCGCAGCCGCGACAGGAGCACTCGGGGAGGGCTTAATCATAGGGGAAGGACGCCTCTGGCGTGATGTGTTGGTAAAGACATCAGCTCACTTAACCTCTCGTCTGTACAGGACAGAAGGAGACCGGTGCCCGCAGTCACCCTCCTTGGTGTTCCTCTGATGGCAACTGCAGGAATAACGGTGTTTGCTGGCCAGAAAGCGCAGGGCTGTTGTGGTCACACACGGAGCCAAGACATATGAACAGTGCCAGGCGCTGGCTGCCGCTGCTATCAGCATAAAAGCAACTGTCACCGTGCTGGGTGTGGCAAGGATGCCATCCATAGGTGACAGGACATCACCAGCAGGTGGGGGCTCCGGGGGCTGCATGTGGCCCATGAGATGCGTGTTTCTCTTGAGCCCTCCGATCTATCTAGAAACTAGTTCTAACACACAGAGACCAGCTACTATCTACTCACCCTAAGGACAGAGCGGGCCCGGGAGAAATGGACTCATGCCCCAGCAGCAGGGACTTTGTTTAGACAGGAGGAGGAACTGGCCGTCACTAAGGATTAACTTTAAAACCTAACTAATTTGGTCTAATTGGAGGGAAGTAAGGATGAATCACTTAGAACTCTGAATTAGCCCCTATTTTTAAATGAAATATAGTTTTTTGCTTTCAAGTGCATGCCGTGACTCAAGCTAGGGCGCTTTAGTAAATGAATAAGAGTGATAATTAGCATCTTGTCTCTTTGGAGGGGGAAGCAATGCTTAAGGAGAAAATTTTTCTTTAATGAGAGAGCAAAAGCAAACTTCAGCCCAGCCCTGTCAAATTATTCCCAATTTTGAATCTGCAGAGGTGCTCGCTACTAAGCAACTTAGGTGCAGGCGGCTGAGGGTGGTGGTGAGCACTGTTTTGGAATCAGGCACTTAAAAACAGGGCTTTGACATGACCCAGGCTTAGGAGTGCAGCTCCGATGACCTCCCAGCTCCCTTCAAGCTCTCTGCGTTTATTTGCCTTGTGGCTTAGCTTTTTAAACATAAGGAGAATCCTTTAAGCCCTCATGTCCTAGTCTTGTCATTTATTACCACCGTGCAGCGATGCCGGGGTAGGCGGCCAATAAATCACTGGGATGGGAAGTGACTACAGGCCGGATTAATTTCATTATCATCCTTAAGCAGATAGGTGTCTAGCATAGCCGATGTCTCCGAGAAGAGTGATGTCCTCTCTCTCCCGACAGGCCCTCCCAAGCCTCGCAGACAGCTGTGGTGCGGCTCTTTTCCCTGCCAGAGTGACCTGTCCCGCTTCCCTGCTGACGGCAGTGAGCGGGTGCCCCTCGTCAGGAGGGGCTGCTCCATGCCACAGGCTCACAGGGTTGGATGTTAAGGTGGCCCAGAAGGATCACCGAGCAAGGGGGCGTTGGTGCTGGGTCCCTTCCCAACACCCACACAAGCTGGCCACCCAGACACAGGGAGAGCAGGACAGTCTCGTGAGTGGAACCCTGAAATTCAAGCGATGCCATTGTCAGCCCCCCGGAACACTTCCACTCCCACTCCTTCCAGTCCTCAGAGCAGCCCCCCAACACCCCATCTTCCTGGGCCCAGGAAGACACACTTTCCAAAGCCCTCAGGGACTTTATAAAACCCCAAGGCTGGACTGACTGCTTCGGAAAGATGATTCCGGGATGGAGGCGCTTGGGCTGCAGGGCCCTCAGCACGGGGCCAGGCCGTGAAAGTGCAGCTTCCGGCAAGGTCTCCCCCGCAAAGCCACAGGCTCAGTACCCACAGCAGCCGATTCCCAGAGGGGCCTGAGACCTACTCAGCCAAAGAGCCCAAGGATGGGGTGTTCTCTGCTGTTGGCTGTTGTCCAGAAAGCTCAGCTCAAACAGTGTCAGCTTCTTGCTGGCTGAGGGTGGGCCCCAAGTCCTGCCTGGTACAGACCCATCTCCTGGGCCTTCTGAGCACGAAGGTTTCCTTCTCTGTCGTCCCCATCTCTGGAAAAGCACTGTCCGCTCCCCTCCCCAACCTGAGCCAAGTCCATGCACAGGACGGATGTATCTCAGAGCCCCGCCTGCCCTCCCAGCGTCATTGCCCGCCCCAAACGCTCCCACAACTCCCCCAGGAGGCCTTCTCGGACGAGTCGCCCTCTCCGGGCCTGCACCTCTTCGATCCACGCCTCGTGCCCCCACAACCCCTTTCTGAAAGGCAGATCTCCCCCGCTTAAGGCCCTCTAATGGCTTCTCACTCTTCTTGGGGTCTGATGCAAACCCCTCGAAGCTGGACAAGCCCTGAGAGACCTGCATTTCCTCTTCTCTGCCCTTCCTCTGTGAGAAGCACTGCTGGGTAAGCCAGGCCCGGAGCCTCCATGTACCCATCTGTAAAGTGGGGTTCCTGACTCACAGGGCTGCCGAGGGCCAGAATGAACCAGAATAAAGCGAATGCTCAAGGCCGCCCCTGGCCCAGAACGATAGTTCCCTGAGCTCTTTTGGCTTTCACTGCTGCCCAGGTGCCTCCTCAAGCTCGGGCGTCCGGAAGTCCTCCTGCTAAGGCCGCACCTCCCTTCTCTGTGGGTGCCCTCTCCCACCTGGCTAAACTCCCCGCGTTCCTTAGGTCTCTGCCCTGCTGGACATCCAGGTCCGGCATAAAGCGCTCCCGGGTTCCGCAGGCACCTGCTCTCTGCCCCTCTGCGGGAGCTCAGTGAAGATCCAGATACGGCTCTGGGCACATCCCCGCCTCCTGCCTCGGCAGGCCAGGCTTCTCCTGGCACTTCTGTGTCGCTGAGAAGTCACATGCCCTGTTCACTGACCTTAGCATTCACCCAGTGTGAGGGTCAAGAGGCTACAGGAAGTGTTGCTGAACGCTGCAAACAGGAAATTAAACCCTTCTTCGGAAACGAGGGCCCTGCACAACAGGCTACAAGGTCTAGTGAGAACAGCGCACAGCGAGACGAGGCCCCGCACTCTGACGCTGGTTGAGCATCAACGCCCTCGGCACGCGGCCGGCACGCGGGCGTGCGACCGTCCTCAGCTTCCAGCCTCGATCAGGAGGGAGCCTTCGGTTAGGGGAACGTGACAGTGGTTCCTGGGCTCTTCTGAAGGGGCAGCCAAGGAAGAGTCTGTCCCAGAGAGGCACAGTCTGCACACCCTTCCCCCCATAGCTGGGGTCCCAGGAACCATCCACTCCGATTAGGACTGGGGATGAGGGAGGCGCTGCTGGGGCCACGCCATGTCCTTACCTCGTAGTGGCCAATGGTGTTTAGCTTGGTGATTCCATCTTCAAGAATCACAGAGGAGCCGTCAATATCTAGAAGTTCTTTTTGTCGGGTACCCACCTGAAGCTCTGAAAAAAAAAGTGGAGGTTGGGATATTTTTTCACTTTGAAAATCACAATAAATTTTTTGTTTTTGTTTTTGAGGCAGGGTCTCGCCGTGTCACTGAGGTTTGCTTCCAACTCATATAGCTCTGGCTGGCCTCAAACTCAAGACCCTCCTGCCTCAGCTGCCTGAGTACTAGGATTACAGGCGTATACCACCATGCCCGGCTCAACAAAAAATTTTCAATACTACATGTTACTCTCAGAAATTTTGTTTATTTTTAAAAAATTTTTATTTTTCCAAAAATTTTTTTATAAATAAATGAAACTTGAATAAAAGGGTAAAGCTTTGTGAAAAAATAGGGAGATATATCACCCAGTGTGGGAACCTGAATTTTGTTTGGGGTTTGTGTTTAAGGCCCTAACATGTCAGACTGCTTTTCCCTGGGGCTTTTAAGCCAAAGCTAAGCCCAGAAGTGAAGCCATTTAGGGTAAAATCATACATTCTCTGAGGGATTGAATGCTTTAGAAAAAAAAAAGGCCCCATGTTCACGTGTGTGCACACAGGTTCACCAACAGAAGCACAAAGGGAGTGGCCTCCACACGTCTCTGCTCACACACCAGCGGCCCAGGTGTGAGCTCCCTGCGCTCGTGGCTGGCTTGTGCCCTGGCATCAGAATGTGGCCGTAGTTTTGTTATTTTTTTTTTTCTTTTCTTGAACCTGCAGAGTGTGTTACAAATTACTGTGCTAATATTAGCCTGTCACCAATGTTTAAAGATAATGAGATTGCACAAACAGTTTTGGACTTCTGATTTCTTTTTAAAAATCTGGTCACACCAACCCTGCGTCCTGCATGGCAACCTTTGGCCAAACTAAGTGGCTCTGCCTGGCTGGATGGCAAGTCTTTCCCCAGTGAAGTCAGGCCCCACTGCTTCCTACTGACCCAGGTGGTGACACTGTTTACGCCGTTTCTGCCCCTTCCTGCTCCTCGGCTTGTGAGCCTCTGCTGTAAGAGGTCTGAACACGACTGCTTTCAGGGTTAGAGTTCAGGACCACTTTGACTGGTTTCTGAGGCTCCGCCTCAGTCTCGCCAGCCTTGCAGTCATTTGGAAGATCAGCGGCGCACAGCCGGTAGGTCCCAGTCTACCGCCTGTTCTGCCCTCGCCTTCCCACTCTAGGAGGTGAAGACCCTGGAAGGGGACAAAGACACCTAGGGCAGCAGCACAGTCTGCTGGGCCGTCTTCCCTGTAGTTTCAGGCTGGGTGTGCCACGTCCTTTGTAGTCAGAGTAAGACATTTGCCAGGCATGTTCAAGGCAAGGAAGGTGATGGTCAGGGTGAAGTCCTGGCTTCCTAGCTGAGGCTGCCCCTCTGATCCCCTGTCTAACCTGATGAATCTTCGCACTGCCCGTGGGCCCATCCAACGGAAGGAAACAGGAATGAGGTAGCGGGCGCCCCGGTGTCCACGAGGCAGGTCACCCAGAGCCTGCACATTTGCAGGGTCTTGCTCAAATTTCCCGGGCCCTGCCTCGAGGCTCTTCTCAATGGCCTTTTCAGGAGGTCTGGTTGGAGGGGTTGGATTATAATTGCCTGCTTAGTGGAGGCCCACAGCTGTACACGGAGGGGAGAAGAGCCTTGTTACGCTGCCTGTCACTGCCGCGATGATCCTCTTCTTCCCTGCCCCATTATCCGCTATAAAATCCCACGGCAGTCTCCTGGGAGGCTGCGCAGAGCTCAACTTTAAAATGTTGATGAACATTTGAGTGGAGCAGAGCCCTGTTAGCTCGCTCACGCATATGCTCTCCTTTGCAGTGTACCAATAGAGCCCGAAAATGAATTCCTGGCAGATGCTGCTTCATGTCGGGGGAGGACGGCAGAGGCACTTAATGCAGGACGCGATTAGCAGGGAGGAAGATGACCTTTCCAGCAGGCTGGAGTTAACACTCAGCGCTGAGCCGCCCACTAATGACACGCGCGGTATCACAACAAACAAATCAGACGCCAGCGTGAGAGGCAGCACACCCAGGGGCGCAGGGTTTACACCTTTTGGTACTTCCCGCTGCAAGGTGATTCCATGCGGTTGCAGGGTCAGTCATCTCACGAATCTGATTTACAAACATATTTTTAAAAAGGCATCTTTGAAGGGTGATCTCTTCCTAAGAAGAGTCAAGATGCTCCTGACAAAACAAAGCGGTCCTCTGGCCCTACATGTGGCCTCTGGGAGCAGCCTGGGCCATCGGAGAGTCACCAAGCAGAAGCTGACACGGGGGCTGGCAGAGACAGGGTTCACCAGGGGACTGGGACAGGTAGGGACCGTGTCGCCTTACCAAGACCGATCTCGTTGAGCTGAAGTCCATAAGGAGAGCCATTTTTGCTTAAGAAGGCCTGGAAAATCTTTTCTTTGGCTTGGCCTATGGTATCACAGTCAAGAACATTGACTGAAATATTCCGACAGACATCTGCACTCTCATTTTCTGGGATTTTTTCAAAGACGACGTTTAATGCCTGCAAGAACATAAACAGATTTTCAAGCCTATTAGATAACGGAGATCTGAAAGGCATTCACAAAAAAGCACAAACCTCGGCGAGTCCCGCTAATACCCGCGACAGCACGTTAGCAAATACTGTATCGCAGATACTCCTTTAATCTTTTCTCCCTAATCCATTCTTCTCAGGGATAATGGGAAGGAAAACGCAAAGTTAAAACTCTCATTATAGAGCAAGTATTGAGTAAGTGTATCTGAGGGGGAAATGTATATACACATAAATATTCTAAAAATGGCGGTTTCTAATTTCATCTTCCAAAAAAAGAATTGGAAAGGTTCCACGGTAAATGAGGGCAGACTGGTGATTATCTTTTTTTATGAACAGAACCACAGAGTCCCAGAAGTGAAGTTCCAGATGACAGGAAAGGTTACGAGGTCTCCGTATTGATCACACCAAAGAGGGCATGTTTTAATAAGCAGCATTAATTACGGTAACATTGGTCTCCCCCTTCAACACCCTCCGTCAGATGGTTCTGAGCCCTCATTAAAATACGGAGATCCCACCCTGTACTATTATTCTTGCATTAATTACAGCTCGGTGCCATTACTTAACGCCCTGTCGGCGGAGCGTTCTCTGGAGCAGTGAGACCTCACCGCCAGGCTGAGGCGGAGGGAAGGCCTCGGTGCGTGTGTGGGGAAACACAGCACCAGGGCTATTTCAAAGCCAGTCTACAAGCAAGTTCAGGTTTACTTTGTCTAAGAACAAATACACAGATCTCCAGCAGCAAGTGTGACCGCCCACGGGTCCCGGGGGAGGCGAGCAGGGAGGCGCGAGGGGTTTTCCGCGCCGGGTAACACGGTTCACTTTCCGCACCTCGGTGATCAGTGAGTCAGTGGGAGGGGCCTGCTACCGTGTGAAAAGTACAGTTACGGGATGTTGTTGAGCCTAAGTTAACGAAGGAGTGTGAAATGATCAAGTAATGGGGATGTTAAGCAATAAAAACGCAAATGAGGAGTGGGGTTCCTTAGGACTGTCTCAATTGTAAAATGCGATAATGATTATACTTGCTTTTTTTTTGAGACAGAGTCTCACTGCGTAGTTCAGGCGGGCCTTGAACTCACTATGGAGCCCAGCCTGGCCTCGAACTCGCGGTGATCCTCCTGCCTCAGGCTCCTGAGTGCTGGCATCACAGGTGTGCACCACCATGCCCGGCTGGTGCCAGGTTTCCCTCATTGCTATGGAGACTGAGTGAGATAAGGAGCCCAAGGGCTGCCGGGAAGGACTCCAGAGTGGCCGCTGAGAAGCCGGTGACTTTTCCACCCACCACTGACCAACTGGTAACTCGGTTTCTTACAAAGTGGGAACAACTGTGACTGCCGCCCGAGGGTCCTGTGACTATGGCCTGAATGAATCCTTTCTGGCTGATGAGCTTGCGGGACACAGGACTTCCGGACCCCCGACAGGGACCTGATGCTCTGAATGCTGGGCGGGTTCTCAGGCCACATCTTTGCTGGCAGCTGTGTCCCTGGAGCGCTTAGTCCCTGGGCCTTGGGCGGGAACAGGGCCGCCAGAGCTCTCTGAGGCCTCTGCCCTGGATGACTCCCAAAGCCCCCAGCTCTGGGGGGTCCGATCACAGCAGGGTTAAAGAGAAGGCACCACCCGGACAGCCTGTCCTTTGCCAGGCCAGTGTCCTCTCCGAATGCCCTACATACAGCCAGATGAGATTCTCAGCACTGCGCGGCTCGTTCAGCCCAGCATCGCTGCAGCTGGGTGTCTGTGAGCCGCCATTCCCGGGACTTCACAGAGAAGGCGCCGTCGCAGGCCCTGACCAGCCAGGGAGTCTCAGCACTCAACCTTGGGTTTCCCAGCCTCTGCAGCCACCGAAAACACTTCTCTGCTGCTGATAAGCCCCCGAGTTTGCTGCAGTTTGTTAGAGCAGCACGAAAGGCTAAGACAGATGCCTGTCAGCCCCTTCCATCCTGTTTATAATTGCAAGAGGAAGCTCCGGTTGGACGCTACCCAAGTGACTGAGAGTGCGATCCGGGGCTCACGGGTCTCCAGGCTGAGGGGCGAGCTCAGTCTGGCCCCGAGTCTGTGTCCTTGAATGCAGTCACCCGCTGGCAGCAGGGTTCCAAAGCCCCTCTGCTCACAAGCAAATCCAAGGCCTACGAGGCAGGAGCGGGCCGGTGCGGGATGAGGTGGAGCATGTGCCCACTACACGAGCCTCTGAGGTAAGGCTTCCTGCCTGAGGATCTTTAGTGACATGTGTTGGGACCTCAGGGACTGGAAACACGCCCCCCCGCCGCCCGGTGCTAAGTGTGTGCCCCCCTCAGCTCCAGCGCATTTCTCTTAATCCTTGCAACATCCTGGCGAAGGAAGCTGAATTATCACTAGCACCTGCATTTCAGAGTGAGGAAACTGAGGCACACAGGGGTAAGTCACTTGCCCTGAGGACACAGTAAGTGGCAGAGTCAGGAGGCGAGGCCTGGGATTTGCCTGACTGCAGGGTGAGCGCTGTGAGCCACAGGGCTGTGGCACCTCGCCCCGTCACCGCTCCTCGACCTCTTTGCCCCGGCCCCCGGGAGGCCCGTCCTGGACACGGCGAAAGGCAGAGTCCTCAGGGGTCCCACACACGGGGACCATGGCAGGCACACAAATGGGTAATGCTCCTCTTGTGCCCGAGTCCCCCTCCTGGGGACAGTGGCAGGGCTTCCATGGGGCTTCCAAGACAGAGGACTGGAAACACCTCCTAATCAGAGCCGCAGCACCCCAGCCGCTGTACTAGTTTTACAAGTATCTGTGAAATAACATCATGCTATTACCTAAAGGGCACTATTGTCTTTACCAAAAACACCTCTTCACAGGCAATAAACGTTCCTAAAACATAACCAGAAGGGGAAAAAAAATCTTAACTGGATGTAAAGTAATGTAAATCTGCCACTGCCTCCACAGCTAGATGGGTGGAAAAGAGGTAAAGTGGCATTTTACCGAGTCCACAGGGAATTCCGAGAGTAAATTCAGACACAAATTGATTTGTGATCATTTTTTATGCTGCTGACACTTAGCCCTCCAAGCGCGGTTTCCTACGGTGTGTGGGGAGGGCTTGGGTCTGCCCACCTCCTAACGGCCCCCCAGGCCCACTGCTGGGGGACACCCCCACCCCGCCTCCCGGCTGTGACGGAGCAGCTGTCGGTGTCACCTCAGAGCAAGGGACGGCAGGGCTGCCTTCAGCCACTGTGGCCCATGGAGCTCAGGGAGCCGGTCTTCTCCGTGCCCCCTCGGGCTCAGTGCCCGGGTCCGGGCTCTCAGATCTTGCACCCTTCACCGTGAGGCACACCTGTGTCACCTGGGGAAGCGCTCCCAGAGTGCACTGGGAGCAGAGCAGAGCGCTCCGGGCAGACCAAGCCCACAGCGCCAGCCCTGCTCCCTGCCGGCCACGCCGCCTCCTCTGAGCCTGTTCCTGTCGCCAAGGAGCGACACATCAGCACGGAACGCTAACCAAGACAGCACACTGAGGAGTGCTTCGGACGCGCCAAGCACCGCTTCAAGTGGTGCGTTCGTGCATTCGTATATACGGGTTCATCTCAAACAGCCCACAGGACGGAGTCCATGAGTTTTACAGATGGGAGACAGGACACAGAGAGCTTAGATACATTGTCTGAAGTTGCCCAGGACCAGGCCCCTCAGCTCCATGTTCTTAAGGCCCTGAGAGCCCGCCTTCCAAACTCTGAGGGTGTTTTATGAAAAGAACATAGCCCAAATCTGCAGGATCGTGTTTTACTTTCATCTATTTATTTTTTTGGTTTTTTGGTTTTTCTCCGGTACCGGGAACCGAACTCACGACCTTGCGCATGCCAGGCAGGCGCTTTTGCCGCTGAGCTAAATCCCCAGCCCCTCGTGTTTTACTTTCAATACCCAGAGGGCCAAGTGCTGTAAACTGTATGTTGGTCTTCTGCCCAGAATGGGCTCTTCTGTTAGGAACTGCCCCGGATCACCCTGCTTCTTTGGCACGATTGTGTCAGCAAAGCTGACCAAAGCCGCCCTCCCTTCTCTGCTAACAGGAGCCAGGCATCAGCAGCAGGATGGAGTGTTGGTGGTAACCCTCTTCTCCTCCTCTACCAGAGCCCTAGCATGTGACCAAGCTCTATCTAGCCAATAGCACATCTACCCCAACAAAAGGGAGAGTTGTGCCCGGGGCTGAGGCAGCTATTTTGTGAGCAGGAGGCAAGGCCAAGAGGAGCCTAGAGAAGATGCACCCAAGTTCTGACAGCGCTGAGCGTGTGCAGCAGCCTGGGACCTGCTGACCTCCACACACTGCGCTAACATGCAATCTCACGCTCTAGGGCCTGTGGTTCCCATTTTCTCTTTCTCACAACTAAATATACCCAAACCAACGGGGCTCACTGTAGATGATGAGGTGGACGAACTCGTTTGCAGACACTCATTTATTTCATACCAGATGAATGCAGGGCTTCATAGCTGAGACCAAGTGGGCCTGGCTCTCATTCTGCCTGGGAAATACTGGCAGACTCGAGCGTTGCAAGAGGTGTCAGCTCTAGCCAGGGGTCACTCTCAGGGAGGGAATTCAGGAAAGCCGCATGGAGAGGTGGGGGGGGCACAGACTGGGCTGCAGCACATGAGGGAGGCCTGGATGGGGGACGCTAGGCTCCCGCTCAGCTGGTGGGCAGCAGCTGGGTGAAGCGGCTGGCAGGTCAGGAAGCCCGGAGAAAGAATCCCACTGCCTTGGGCAGAAGGGAGGGTGGAGAACTTCCCCCCACCGCCTGCCTGAAGCCCCTAGGACTTGTGGGTGAAGCAGCGCAGGCTGCGTGGCTCTGGGTTTTTTTTTTTTTTGGTTTTTCTCCGGTACCGGGAACCGAACTCACGACCTTACACTTGCCAGGCAGCGCTTTTGCCGCTGAGCTAAATCCCCAGCCCCTAGGCTCTGGGTTTATAATAGAAATAGCCAGCACTTACTGAGCACGTAGCACACAGTGGGGATGAACTTGCGAATTCTCACC